AGGTTTTGAGGCCAAGTTGGATATATATATATTCTCCATGTCAGTATGTCTCTCCTTTGAGAGAAGCTATTTATCTATTTTCTCCATTTTTTTATTTTTTATTTTTTTTGTTTTAAAAATATAAAATAGTAATAATTGTTTATCTTGATTAGATTAATAAAGTTGCACATAATTAGAGAGAAACCTTTGGGTTTTCCAAGGCCTCTTATTTTAATATATGTTATTATTACATTTAAAAAAGACATTTAAGAGAGAGAGACCTTTAGATTTTTCAAGTCCTCTTGTTTTAATTATTATTACATTTAAGAGAGAGAGAGAGAAAGAGAGAGAGAGAGAGAGAGAGAGAGAGAGAGAGAGAGAATAGTAATAATATAAATCAAGTAGTATAAATAGGTTGAGGTTAAACAATAAAAATATATTAATTTAAAAATCCACTAAATTTTCACTAAAAATAAATATTAACAAAACATAGAAAAATATTAAAAATGTGTTCCAATTCCACTTAAAAATCAAAATTAATAAATGCTAAAAATAATAAATGTGTTTCAAATATATTAAAATTGGTTTGTCCATGTCAACATGTCTCTCCTTTAAGAGAAGCTATTTATCTATTTTCTATACTTTTGGTATTTTTATTAAACATATAAAATAGTAATCATTGCTTATCTTGATTAGATTAAAGAAGCTGCACATTTTAGAGAGACCTTTGCGTTTTCCAAGGTCTCTTGACACTTTAATAGAGAAAGAGAGACCATTGAGGTTTTGAAGGCCTCTTATTTTAATGCATACTATTATTAGATTTAAAAGAGATAGAGAGAATATTAATAATATAAATCAAATAATATAAATAGGTCAAAGGTTAAACAATAAAAAAATTAATAATTCAAAAATCCACTAAACTTTCACTAAAAATAAATATTAACAAAGCTTAGTAAATATTAAAAATGTGTTTCAGTTCCACTTAAAAAGAAAACTTAATAAACACTAATAAAAATAAGAAATTTAAATATAAAAATATTAATTTATAGTTTTAAAAATATTACTAAATAATTTATGAGTTGAGACCATTATTGTGCATAATGAACTTATTAAAAATGATAAAAATTAATGAAAGTTTAAAATGTAGAACCCATTTTATTAATAGTGTTTTATTGCAAAAGTTACTAAATAATAATGAAAAAAAATACAAAAAATTCATTAAAAATAAGAAATTTAAATATAAAAATATTAATTGATAGTTTTAATGATATTGTTAGATAACTTTGTATTAATACATTTGTAATTAATTAATAATTTTTGTGAGTTGAGACCTTTATTGTGCATAATGAACTCATTAAAAATGATAAACATTAATGAAAATTTAAAAATTACTCATATGCAAAAATTAGTAAATAATAATGAAAAAATACCATCAATTAATTAAAAATCCAAAAATTTTTGAAAAACATAAACATAATTAAAATACTAAAAATAATTAAAAATGTTGAAAATTAAAAATATTTTTTTATTAATAAGGGTATTTACTAAAATAATTAAAAGTACAATTAATTAAAAATACCAAAAATTATTAAAAAATTATTCAAGCCAGAAATTATTGAAACATAGTTGTATTTTTTATTAACTATGGTATTTATTTAKTTATTTAATGTATCTTTACTGAAAGCAAATGCAAATTATTTTTGTAGTGACTAATATGCAAAAATAAATGCTAAAAATACTGAAAATTATTGAAAAATACTCAAATGCAAAAATTACTGAATAATAATGGAAAACAACCAAAATTAATTAAAAAATCCAAAAAATTTGAAAAACCTAAAGCTTAATGAAAATACTAAAAATAATTAAAAATTAAATTAATTGTATTTTATTGCAAAAATATTAAATAATAATGAAAACATGTGTTTTAATTATTAATAGTAATATAATTATCAATACTTATTTTTGAACTGTAATTAACAATGATTATAATTTAAGCCATAAATAATAAAAAGTTACAATATTTTAATAGCTAACAATATTTTAATAATTAATAATTAAAAGCAATAAATCATTTATAACTTAACCTAACCCGATTACATCTTTAAATTTGCAGGCTCAAGCAACTATTTTCTTTTGAGCTAAGTCTAGCTGAGATATGCACCATGCCCACACCCTATCAGGGATAATTAGATTCGAAGTGTAATTATGGGGATAGGGCCCAAGCTAAACAACCCCTAATAAGCTCAACTTGGAAGTTATATGCATATATGACAAATATTTTTATATAATATTTAAATAACAAATTTTATATTAATATATATAGAATTAAATAAAATTTTTTATACTACACTAGAATTAAATAAAAAAGTTAATTTGTAAAAATATCATAGTTTTATAATTAACGCGTGACTCTTTATCAACAGAAAATGTGCAAGCCCAAGCTCGGCTCGACCATCGAGCCTAGATCTTGAGCCTGAGCCTAACCCTTATATAAAGCCCGAAGCTCAAGCCTGAGACTAAGCCGAAAGCCCGATCTATACAAAAAATGTCTTATTTTAAATACTTTTAAAATTGATATTATATTAATTAAGTAATAATTTAATTAATTAATAAACTAATTTATATTTCCTAATAGTAAATTGATATTTATTAATAATTTAAGAAGCATAAATATATATTATATTTATTATATATAAGTACTTTTTTATATATTTAATAGTATTGGGCTAGGCTCAGGCCCAGGTTAGGATTATTTGAGAAAGCCCGAGCTCGAGCTAACAGGCCTAAAAAATTATGGGCCAGGTCGTCAAGCTACCCGACCAACGAATAGGTCCAATTATATATATAAACACTTGTATACATCAAAGATCATATGAAATAAATATTTAAACATCTTTTTCATTTTTTTTAAATGGATCTCTGGTAACTTGGTTCAGTTTGCAGCCTAGCCTAGCCCAAGGCTCAGCCAATGGACCAACCTGGCCTAGGGCACAGCTCGGGCCTATGCGGGCTCGGGTCATGAGCCATGCCAAACCAACCCCCCAAATTATCCCAGGAGAGGAGGTACAACCTGGGACACCCTGTGGGACAGCATGTTTGTGCGGGCCGCATTCAGGTCGTGCCATGATGACCTAGCAAGACCCGATTTATAGCTCTACTTGAACTCGCCCAATACTAGGGATGGGGTGGGGAAATTAGAGGATTCCCCAGACTTGATGAGGAGTGGGGTGCCTTGCCCGGCATTGAGGAATGGTTGCCTTGCCCTAAACTGACCTAACAGTGGGACARGGCGAGGATGGGGTAAAGTGTCTTAACTATGGGGTAGGGACAGGGATGGGGTGCCTGCCCTGAACCCATCCTATTGTCATTTCTATATAATTGTTAATTATTAGTGAAATTAATAAAATTGTTTACTTTTGTAATTATTTTTATTTATTTAAAGTTAATCAAAATTTCATTTAAAAATAATAAAAATAATAACAATTATTAAAATTACTATAAATTATGAATAAAACTAAATTTGTTAAAAATACTTGTTAATATTAAGTATTAACTTAACAATAATTATTTTTTATAAATCAATATTAAATAAAAAATATAATTATTAAAATTTTAGATATTAACAATAACTTTGAATACTTTTAGTTAATTAATAACAAATTTTGATTATTAATTTAATATTCATCAATATTAAATGAAACTATTAAATCTTTCAGATATTCCCGGGTCCCCGCTAGTTTATTGGTAAAAAGGAAGAGGAAAAGCTAGAGCCAGTTGTGAGATTTGTAGATAGAGGTTTGCAATTTGCAATAGCCAGTCGGATTGTAACAAGAACCTCTTTCTATTGGTGAGATTAATAATATAAGATTCAGCCATTCACGGATACAACTTTACTCCTTGATAGAATAACTGCAAGCTAAGTTGAAATTTATATCGGCCACCTCTTGTCTTGTGACTTGTGAAGGACCAACCTGTAGTTTCCTAACCATTTAAGACGCCTCTGGTTTTGATTCTTTCCACTAAACCTTCATCGCATCATCTCTTGCTTCTCTTTGTTCTCAAGATCTGAAACCAGCAGAGCATAAGACTAGGAATAATGGCATTAACCGCTCTTTATGGTGTTGCAGCAACAATTCTCAAGGATACGGGCTACCGCATATTTGAAGAGGCATCATCGGCCTGGAACTTGGAAGAAAAGAGGCGGATGCTCGAGAATCTACTGCCTACCATCAAAGCTGCAATTCTGAATGCAGAAGCAACGCGTCCAACAGACCCTGAACTCATTGATTGGTTGGCCAAGCTTAAAGATGCAGTATATGATGCGGAGGACGTGGTGGATGATTTCGCTACAAAAGCTTTGCAAAAACAATTGAAGCGTCAAGTTAGCATCAGAACAAAGCAAAAACAATTGAAGCGTCAAGTTAGCATCAGAACAAAGCTACGCAATCTCGCGAGAATAAAGGTACGCAGACTCTTCCCCATATCCAAAAGAAAGGTGCGGGACTCAGTTTCACGTTTAATTCCATATAACATTAAGATGGTCAAGAAAATTGAGAAGAGGTTTGCTGAGATTGCAGAAAACAGGAGAAATTTCAGTTTCTCTAATTTCCAGCAGAATTTTAATAATAACAGGAGATGAAGAGAGGACACTCACTCCTACGTATCTGCATCCGATGTTATCGGAAGGAGTGAAGAGAAAGAGTATATAATAAATTTATTGTTAAATGATGTGGGCGAGAATGAAGGAAATGTTTCTGTAATTGCCATAGTTGGAATAGGGGGTTTAGGGAAAACAACACTTGCCAAATTAGTGTTTGCTGGTGAGAGGATTAAGAGCCACTTCGACCTAAAGATGTGGGTCTGCGTGTCGGAGGAATTTATTAATGTAAGAAGTCTCATTAAAAGAATTATAGAATGTGGCGACACTAATGAAATTTGTTCCAATTTAGAAATGGAAAAATTGCAGGAACGCCTTCGGAATAAATTGAAAAATGACGAGAGATTTTTATTGGTATTGGACGATGTGTGGAACGAGAGTGGTGAGGAATGGCTTGAGTTTAAAAATACTTTTAACAGAAGCTGGTGCTAAGGGAAGTAAGATTCTCGTAACCACCCGTAGTCGGAAGGTTGCAAAGGTGATGGGTGTTGTTGAGGCATATGACTTAGGTGAGCTGAGCGAAGATGATTGTTGGTCCTTATTTAAGCAACGTGCATTTAACCAGCAAGGAGAAAAGGAAGAAAAACCAGAGCTAGTGAAGATTGGGAAACAAATTGTGAGCAAGTGCAGGGGCGTGGCTCTGGCGGCAATTACTCTTGGAGGTCTTTTGCTTGATGCATCTGAGGAAACCTGGTTGGAAATTCGAGATAGCCAGCTTTGGGAGTTGGATAGCAAGCATATTTCGGAACCAGAAGCGAAGGAGAACTTTATCTTAAATACATTAAGGCTAAGCTACTTTCATTTGCCGGCGGTGTTGAAACCCTGCTTCGCATATTGCTCCTTGTTTCCAAAGGATCATGTAATTGACAAGGAGACGTTGATCCAATTATGGATGGCTCAGGGGTTCATTATTCAATCACCCCAGTGGATCCACAAGAGTATGGAGGGAATGGGTGAAGAGAATTTCAGGTATTTATTAGGGAGATGCTTGTTTCAAGATGAACAGAAAGATGAAGAGGGGAATATAATTAGTTGTAAAATGCACGACCTTGTGCATGACCTTGCCCAATCAGTTGCAGGGGCCCTGGTGAGTGTTGCCTCATTGATTACAATGACAAAGAATTAATTGAACCAAAGTCTCGAAAGGGTTAGACATGCGGCAGTTAAGAAGCTGCGGACACTAATATGGAACCACTACGATTTTGATTCGATACCAACAAGAAGAATAATTGCTACTAATGCAAGTTGCTTACGGTGTCTTACACTTGAATTATAATGGTAAGGAGCCGCTGAGAAGTTCCTTTATTGGTTCATGGAAGCACTTAAGAAACCTTTACCTCTCTGTGGACAGGGTAGATGATGAGCTCCTACCATCAATTAGTAAGTTGCAAAATTTGCAGACCCTAAAACTCTACAGGTGTCCTTTGTTGGGCTTTTCTTCTTGTTCTGAATCGTTTGGAGATATTGGGAATATGACGAGCCTAAGGCATATTGAGATCTATGACGCTAATAATTACTTGTTTCCAAGGTTTATTACTAAGCGACAAAATTTACAGACCTTAAAACTCCGCGGGTGTGAAAATGGAAGATTGCCACAAGATATTGGAAATATAAGGAGCCTAAGACATATTGACCTCTCTCATAGCAGGCTTACGGGAGCACTCCCTACTTCTATTACAAAGCTAGAGAATTTGCACACCTTGCTTCTTGAAGGTATTAAACACTTGAATAGCCTGAGCCAGATAAGCGGTAAATTAACTATTAGGGAGCTTGATCAAGTGAGAGATGCCACGGATGCCAAGGAAGCCAACTTGAAGAAGAAGCCATACCTTCGATCCTTGGGATTAGTATGGAATTGCAAGCCATACTCGTCTAGAGAAATGAAGGATAATGATGCAGTAACAGAAGCCGAAAATGTGTTAGAAAGGCTCCAGCCACATCCAAATCTAAAGGAGTTGAATATAACTGGGTATGGAGGGATGAAATTTGCTTCTTGGATGATTAAATCCTCGTTGCTCCCAAATCTAGTGAGAATTGACTTATGGAATTGTACAAGATGCGAATCTCTAGAGTTCTCAGGTCCGCTCCCTTCCCTGGAGTATCTAAGTTTATGTGGATTGGAAGCCCTCAAGAGCATTACAAGTAAATTGAGGAAAGGAGATGGATTCTTCCCATCCTTAAAAGAACTCGAACTCACGTACATGCCTAATTTGGAGAGTTGTTCAATAGTAATAGATGATGATGATGCAGCACAGCCACAAAAAGCATTACCATCATTCCCTCACCTTCCCGAGTATTGGAAGATAAGACATTGTCCTAAATTGGAAAGTATTCCTTGGGGTATGCCGGTGGGTGAATATGTGATTCTGGAGGAAGGTAATAGTGCCAAGCTATTAGAATCAATTCTAAGGGCGACAGATGATCAAATCTCGACGATGACAAGTACCAACTCTTCTACTTCTTTTTGCCCCAAAGTAAGGAGTTTAAGACTTTTTGGATGCCAAAACCTAAAAGCTTTTCCACAGGACGTGACGTCAATGCACCCACAAGCAGTGATGCGATACCTCACCAACCTTGAGGAGCTACGAATTGAGAATTGTACAGAGTTTACTCCATTGGAGAGCATTGGAGGTCTTATCTCTCTAAAAGAATTGGTGATCAGTAATAATGCCAAAACTGGTTAGGCTGCCCGATGAGCTGGGTGACCTCAAATCCCTTCAAAAGCTTTATATTGAGGAGTGTCCGAATTTGTCATCTCTACCGCCTCAAGGTATGCAGCGTCTAATGGCACTACAAACACTACATATTGCAAATTGTGCACAGTTGCATTCATTGGAGGACATCTATGGTCTTACGGCCCTACAAGTTTTGAATATCAGGGGTATGCCAAAATTGGTTGCGCTGCCAAAGGAGTTTGGAGACCTCAAATCTCTTCACGAGCTTGATATTTCTTTGTGTCCCAATCTGTCATTTCTACCTGAAGGGATGAATCGTCTAACAGCACTGCATGCGCTATATATTTACCAATGTCCAAATTTCCATTCATTGAAAGGCATTGGAGGTCTTATAGCCCTAAAATTTTTGGGGATCAATGATATTGCCAAAACTGGTTAGGCTGCCTGATGAGCTGGGTGACCTTAAATCCCTTGAAAGCCTTAAAATTGAGGAGTGTCCCAATTTGACATCTCTACCTCAAGGTATGCGGCGTTTAAATGAACTACAATGTCTAACGATTGAATGCTCTCCCAAGTTAAAGGAAAGATGCTCAGAGAATAAGGGTGAAGATTGGCCAAAGATATCTCATATTCCAGAGTTAGTTATATGTGGCATCTGATCTGCGGAGAAATAAATTTGCATAGTTTAGTTTCAACTTTGGCGTTCACGCAGCTCCAAATGACAAGCCATTATCACTGCCTCTATTCCATCCACAACGTGCCTGAAGATGTTAATTCTTCTTCCTCTGGTTCGTGGTCAGTTTATCCTCATAATTAATTTATGAATTCATTGGACTTATTTTTGTTTTCTAGTTAGAAGTAAACGTGTGTTATTGCCTTTCATCAGTGGCAGGTAGGCATGGCGGGCAAAGAGCACCTCTTACCAATAACAACTGGAGAATTTCTGATTTCAACTCTTGTCAGGGTTCAAGTGTACAAAAGCTAATATGGATTTTTTGTCAGGTAGACCAAAACAAAAGCTAATATGGATGGGGTCAAAATATAATTAAGTGGGATTTAATTAATGGGGATGGTGGGAATTTTTAAGGGATAGGGGGCATGGCTCCCCTTCACCATCCCTGACTCTGCCCCTGAAAATAGAAAATGGTTGCATTTAGGATCAGTTTAGAAAGAGTTCAAATACAAATATGTATAAGGTTTAGAAATATCGAATACAATGTTTTCCAGCAAGCATATTTGTATTTGTACTTTTCCCAAATACAAAACCTTTTAGGACTGAGTCTTTGGTAGGAATACAAATACAGATATGTAGAGTGGAAAACCTTGCATATATGTTGTGTATATTTGTATTTGTATTCTTCCCATAACGAGCCTTTGTTTAAAATTCCACTAACATGAAGCTATTATTATTTTGCTAATTGGGTTTTTTGTTTATGAAATACAATTTCTTTGTGCATATCCTAAATAATTTAATAACTCTTTTGAGTGTTAACACATTTTTTTTTCTTTTGATGGAAAACTAATATATAGCAACAATAAGATCTATTTACATTAATAATCAATTACAATTTTTGTTATACCTCTTGCTTTGACTTAGATAATGCATTTTGGTTTTTCCTCTTCTCGTATAAGCATAATCATCACAACAAAGTAAAAGGCTTGTTTGCGTCCCATTAATGCATTAATGATCTCGTTAAGGGGAAAATTCATGTAATATCAATATCTCTTTTTGGTAATAAAAAGAAAACTTTATTAAAAAAATAAAATATTAAAGAGAGTGACCAGAAGTCACTCAAGAGAGAAGAAAACAAACAAAATTTTAAACGCCCAAACGAGACCTCCATACCACTGACTTAACCCAACAGAATAAAAACCCTATAACCCAAAAGCCCAACTACATAGCCAGCTAATAGAATTCCCATCATAACGCCTATATCCCAACAATCAACCCAATTCTACAAACCCCAAAAATCAAACAAACAAAGCACATATTAGACCATGCTACCTCAACCAGTTGCCTGAAAAGTTCTTTCTTGTACATCTAAAGAATCATACAGGCTCCATTATTTGGTGCAATTAATGTTAAAATCTCAGGTTGATTATGAGAAGCATGGGCTATAGGTTCAAGCCCAAGCCCAAGAACTGCCACTTTGCACAAAGTTGCCGAAGATTTGATCTGGATCCTGTCTGCCCCTCTCACAACCATGGATATCCAGGACCAGCATTGGGTAATGGAACAACCATATATGACGGAAGCAACAGCCAATAGTTATTCTTCTATTTTACACCATTTTTCTTGATCCTATAGTTCAGTCCTAGTAAAGATTGCAAATCTTCTATGGGTCACTAGAAATTGTGTTGTAGGATCAAAATCTATTTAGGGACTTCATCTAATAACTTAAGCTTTTAGGCTGAATGGTTTTTAGAAATCGTATGAGAGACTTTTTCACCAAGTGGTTCTTTGAAATGGTATGAGACCTTCGTTGCCTCCATTACAATTAATTAAATTTCTGCAAGGTATGTATAAGCCTGTGCTTGTCTACGCTTTAAGTCCAATGGACTTCTGTGCTAGTTTTTCGCATTGCTCATTTATTCATACATCTTGTTTTTGTAATTGGGTAGCTCATAGGCTAGTTCAACATACCACCAGGCATACCAATTTTTTGGGTCATTGGTTAAGGAAGAGATGTAATATTTGCTTACAAGTAGTTATGGTTTTCAAAACTAGATTAGAAACAGAACCATTTTGGCCATCAGTTCCCAAATCAAACAGTTCAACCATCTGGTCCAAAGCCAAGTTGGATGGTTTTGGGGTTCAAAACCAGACCTAGACCCATGAACAGCTCTTGTGTCAATCAGTCCAGATGTCAGGTTCAATCCAGTTTTCAAAACCATGCTACAAGTTGAATGGATTTGCCTTTTTGGATTCAGAAAAAATCCCAATCAACTTTCATCTGAGGAGATGTGTTAGAGAATAAAAACCCATTTGATACCTCAATAGAGTTTAAGATTTTAAGTTGAATGGTTACTTCAGAATTTGGATGCCTAAAGGCATTGTGTTTACATGTTTGAGTTGGGAATAAGATAGAGCAATGCAAATACAGTGCAGACAGTTGGCAATATCATATTCAGGTTTATAGTAGATTAAATTCGTATCTTCTCTTAATTAACCAATTTAATAGACTTATTTTTTATTCTTTGATCTTTTTGTATCTTTTCATCTGTAACAAGATGACCAAGATGGAATTCACATATTCAGAGAGAACAACCAAGCTGTGGATTTTCTTGCAAACTTTGATGTGAGAGAATGGAAAATTGTATTTTGCAATCAATGCAAGGCCTCCCTACTACGGCAGTTAGAGAAGATTCTTGGAGATTGGATAGAATATAATTAGACATTCTTAGTTAGACCCAAAAGTTTGTTATCATCATCAATAAAATGAAGGGCTAGTTGGAGGGGGTGTGTAGGAGGAGTGGCTCCCCAAGTGGCCTGTGAAGCCCTCTCCTGTTGGCATTGGCTCTTGGTTGGAAGGTGGGTAGGGGAGGTTCAAATCCCCTAGATCTGGTTTCCAACATGCAATCAGTCTAGGAGAAGTTTGGGTCTGCTTGAAACCTTTTCTAACCTAGCCTTTTATCTTTTTACAAAATCTTGTGAGTCAGATGATTATATTTGATGATTGCAGCAAAACAATAGACTTTAATTTATTGATTTGCTCATCTAGGTCTTTGATTATTCATTTCACAGTTAAAAAAGGAATATTAGAAACCCTTTTTCTTTAAAAGACAATCTCACAGTAAATACGTAAGGCCATGTTTGGGAGTGCTTAAAAATGAGTGCTTATTTGGGTCGGATCCATACCATTAAGCACTTATTGGTCTTTGAGAAATAAATTCGAAATAAGTATTTATTTTAAAAATAAGAACTTATATTTTAACTCCAAATTTCCAACTTTTCTTAAGTGCTTAAACAATAAGCACTTAATCAATTTTTTTCTCCCCAATTGTCTCCATTTAAATTTTAGAATACTAGTTATATATACCCTTTCTATGTAAAAATCCTGGACCAGAACGACAACATGCTGCTCTATTTTCAATCCACCAACAAAGAAACTAGTATTACGTTAAGTTGTTTCTCGCATCACAACTGAAAGTAAAAAGTTTTGGGACAAAGAAAAACACAAAACAAAGCAGCAAATTTAGAGAGAACATGTAAATAGTCGAGACTGCCATTAGAAGGACTCCACTTGGAGAAAGCCTTGCAATCTTTGATGCAACCATGAAATACCTATTGAGATAATGAAAGATATCATAAAAAAAAAAAAAAGATAATAAAAATGAAAAATTCCAAGGAGAGCCAAGAGATAGAGAGGGAGGGAGATTAACGGTTGCGAGGAAAAACGAAATAGAAGACAAAAAAAAAAAAAAGGCAATTCTTCATTACATCAGGGACATTTCCCGATTCAATCTGAGATGTGAAAACCTAGGCGAAGGAAGTCCCTCGTATCTTGGAATTGGCAGATGTTCATCCATTTTTTGTTTATTCAGCAGTTACCAAATGAACAAGAATTGAAGAGCTTACGAACTTAAGAATTGGTGTTGGAGTCCGCCACAAGTCCGCTATGGCAACGTTGGCAGGAGCACTGCCCGGAGCCTTCGACAATCCCGGGGTTTCATCCAGGGACACGCCAGAGACTGTCAGAACGAATTCGATCAGCATCTCGTCCAAGCTCAAGATGAGCCTGTTGGATCACTTCTCTCGTCCAAGCTCAAGAGAGAGCGTTTACCACGCAGGGGACATATTTTAAAAATTTGAAAGAAAATGAAGGATAAAAGAATTATAAGCGATTACTATAGTAAAATGCTACCAAACGTTAAATACTAAATAAATATTTATTTTTTAAAATAAGCATTTGAAAAGGCTGAATGCTAAATATAAAAAGTACTTATTCGAATAAGTACTTATTTTTAACATAAACACTTTCAAACATTACCTAAAGTAATATGTGGAA